ACCTGTCAAACCTCAGTACATGCTGAAGAGAAGAAGTCACGTTCTGTGACATGCTCAGACAACTTCCTCAAAAACATGCCATCGAAGAAAAAAACTCAGAAGCATTCATGTCAGGATTGTCCACCCCAGCACCGGGAAATGCTCAAAATCTGCCGCGTCGCCAAGTCGCTCTTTTAAAGGTTGTCCTTGCGAAAGGACGTGTCCCGATTGTCGTGAATATTCGAATAGGCGAGATTCGAAAAGACGACGAAGGAGGCCCGGGGCTGTAACACCTCGAAGCAAGCGCTCGATTAGAGGGAGCAGTCCTGGGCCCGGATCACCTAGAAGCAAGCGCTCGATTAGAGGGAGCAGTCCTGGGCCCGGATCACCTAGAAGCAAGCGCTCGATTAGAGGGAGCAGTCCTGGGCCCGGATCACCTAGAAGCAAGCGCTCGATTAGAGGGAGGAGTCCTGGGCCCGGATCACCTAAAGCAAGCGCTCGACCAAAAGCAGAGGAAAAGGATCAAGATCTCGCCGTTCAAGGAGAGCTCCCATTGGCAGAAGAAGCAGAAGGTCAACTCTGTCGAGACGGCGCAAATGCCGATATCCGCTGCACGTGTCCGTATCCGACGAAGACGACGAAGTTGAAGGAGTCAATGCTTTGGAACCACAAGGCACAGAGCGATCTCTATCGAGAAGGTAATTCATTACTTCTATGAACCAATTTCCAACTCCGCGATAAGCCGTCGAAAAGTTCGTGGGAGGCGAAGCTGTGTGCTACTTAAATTAGGGTATCTCCAACAGAGTTTCGAATGTAGTCGCTGGAGGGCAGGGGGAATCTTATGTTGAAAAATTTCTCCCTGTCGATTACACCGTTTCATGTGTTCTTACCCCTTAGTCGAGGATCCTTGTGAAACAAGCGAAAAAGCTTCGGTAGGGTGAGAGAGAAAGCCTTGGTAGAGGAGGAATTAGCATAGGTCGTATCAAGAGTTCTTCCCAATGCAAGTAGTGCCCAAATGCTTATCTATTTGATAGTAAAAGGCAGACGAAGCAATCGAAAAGGCTCCAAATAGGACCCCTTGTTCCAAGTGGGAGACAAGAAATAGATAGAGATATCGGAAATATGGTGAGTGACCTGACGAGAGCACCAAGAGGATACGCACGAGCAGGAATTCAGAGGCGACAGCTAGTGACGCAGGCGGAGTCACTTAGGTAACACTACTCCTTAGTGTCCTTACCTTACATTCTTACAACTTTCTGGTGCTAAACGTGCTCCATTAAGATTCTCGCTACCTCCCACAAAATACTTCAATTCTTTTGTGTGATCGCTGACAATGCCTTAATAGGCTCCAATTCCTGATTATTGCCTGAACCCTTGTTGATAATCTCACGGGCTTCCTGGTGGGGCTTTCTCATTGTCGGGCTCGAAATTCGTCACGATTTGTCACATTCTGCGAGAATCTTGTTACCTTCCATGCATCCCCCCCTCCATGCAGTTTCTGCTAGAAGTGGAAACGAAAGAATTTATCGAAAATGCGTGGATGAAGAATCAGGCAGTGAAATACGGGCTCTTTCAAAGACATATTCCGCGTTTCCCATTGTCGAGTCAGTTGTACAAGTGCATCCTTCTAATGACAGGCTCATCCTCCTAGTACTGTAAAGAGGAAGAGCGCACTAATGAAGCCACCGGTCGGTCTCACTAAGCGAATGACTACTAAAATGCCTAATATAGTGCCACAGTTGCTAGTCCGTTGAAGGGATCCCTGGTTCTAAACAGTGGCTATAAGCCAGAGGAAAAATTGCGTTATTTGAGCACCTAGAGACACGCGTCGTGATCATTTGATGTTTAGGTGTTTTCCAAAGATAGTAGTCCTGCTTACAAGCATGAAGGATGTACTACTTTCGCATTTAAGAATTACGTGAGAAAGTGCGACCCGCTCGCAACGAGGCCTCCATCCCCTCCCACCGCCACCACAAAAGTTATTCGGTGCGGTTGTTCCACGACTAGCTCTTTCCATTCCGAACGGTGAGAGGGGAATGACAAGGAAAAGGAGATTACAGCAAGAATGCAACTGGTCCGACCACGCTTTTTTTCGCCTGATCCACGGACAACCACTGTTCAGTACGGGGATCTAATAGGCATTTCGGGCTACTTTTTCTTCGTTATTGCGTTTACCATGACGCAGTTGGTATTAGAGCTGCATCCCGTTTTTAGGCGGAGCCTGAATCGACTAGTAGTCGGAAAGTTGGTTTTTTTTTGCAATTTGAAATGACATTTAGCGAGCGGACGAGTCAAAGGGGGAGCCCATCAGGTAGAAGGAGGAGGCCTAGAGGAAGTCAATCGAAACGCACTCGATCTTCGAGAAGAAGAGCTTCACAGAAGTCTCCAAGACGTCCATGGAGACAGCAATATGTGAGCAGCTCTTTACATAACTGAATATTTTGCAATGTAAGCTGAGAAATAAGTTGATGGATGTTTGATATGCAAGCTAGAAGCTGGGGTGGGTACAGTCCGGCGAGGCGTGTTCACGTCCTCTTCTCACAAAATCATGTCATGCTGTTTCCATGAAAGGAGGTTGTACAAAGACATGTTCAAACTCTAAGTAAGCCATGACAGGACATGCCTCGCTGTCTTTGTAAGAGGGTAAAAGGATAAAGGATAAAGTCTTCGCCGTTGATCAATCCCTTTGTGGGATGCGGCACGCATTCTACTTCCATTCAGAATCGTAGTGGCTTATTGAATGCGATGTGGCCTATACAATGACTTGCGGTGGCCAG